GATACATGCACTGGGTCGGGAGATCGTTTGCTAAACTTCCATGTATCTTTTGTCCAATGGGTACCTGTACTTCGAACATTCGCAAGTTTTCCTAGGTAGTGCGAGACAGCTTTGTCTTTTGACCTATTAGTTTTGTGCTGACCTCTTCTCCGCGTCTTGATGTTTTTAATCCTCTACCTCCCAAGTCTAACTTGTTATGGTGCTTCTGGGTGCCTGCAGGCTGACACCCTTTCTGCACCAAGTACAAGTTGCTATGTTTACCAAGAACCTATTGTGTTTTCTACCAAGTTCAATTCAGTATGTAAAGGTCATCTGCCCCTCCCTAAGGGGTGACTCAATATCTAGGCTAATTTAACCAGGGAGTCCAGAAAGTAAACATACTTAGCATACTTTTGCAGTGTACAGCATTATTAGCCTATTGCAACTGAAGGATATACACAGCTTTTTGCTGCTCCTACTAGAGATTTTTCCAGCACTGTGCAGACTGAGTAAATTGTACTTGGACCATGGGCAAACATAGTAAGTACTACTTGAGTTGTCTTCACTACAAATAAGTTGAACTTGGGTTGTCTCCACTACAAATAAGTTGAACTTGGGTTGTCTGCACTACAAATAAGTTGAACTTGGGTTGTCTGCACTACAAATAAATTGAACTTGGGTTGTCTGCACTACAAATAAGTTGAACTTGGGTTGTCTCCACTACAAATAAATTCAACTTGGATGGTCAAAAAAACTGATTGAGTTAGACTTGGGTGATTCTATACTACAAGTAAATTGAACGTAGACAATCAAGAAACTTAGCAAGTTACACTTGGGCTTGTGCAAATAGAAATGAAGCAACCTTTGTTTTCATGAAAGAAGGCAGTTGAGCTTGGTTGTTTGCTTTGCAAATAAACAACCATATTACATAACTTGAGTGACCATGAAAGCTAACTACATGTACTAGGCTATTCCTAAATTACATATGAATACTGTATATGACTTGCCTCCACAACATTTCCTGTAAATCAGATTATCATACTACATTTGATAAAATCAATGAGTAAATGAATTGATTTCATACTTTGGAATTATGGGCTAATAGTCTTCATTTGTTACTGTCATTGCAGTGCATGGTCCTACAGATTGTTACTCTTGCATGAAACATGACTCTCCGAGATATAGCTTCATTGAATATAACTGAACAAGAACATGATCTCATTACAGAATCGTCTAAGAATAGATCTGGCAAAGTGAGGGTGAAGAAGCATCATTTGCCAACTGAATCGAAGGAGAGGGTACAAAATGATCAGGTAGGAGATAACCAAGTTATTCCTATGGACACTACTAGTGATACTAGTGTCCCCAGTCATGTAGGTTCTCATTCTCGTAAGCGCAGACATCGCTCAAAACATCATAAGATCAGTTATGCAGACAGTGATAGTGATACATGTGATCCCCATTCTGCACAAACCACTAAACGCAGAAAACGGCCAAGACATCATAAAAAGAGACAGGGTCATGGGAGTACTAGTAATGTGACTGGTGAAAGAGACAATGAGACAATTGAGACTGAGGAGAACCAGAGTGGTAATGGTATTGAGAACCTAGTTGGTGATCACAATAAGGACCAGGGTGATGGCAATGAGGATCAGGGTGGTGGCAATGAAAACCAGGATGGTGATCACAATAAGGACCAGGGTGATGGCAATAAAAATCAGCATGGTGATGGCAATAAGGATCAGGGTGATGGCAATGAAAACCAGGATGGTAATGGCAATGAGGACCAGGGTGATGACAATGAGGACCAGGGTGATGACAATGAAGATCAGGATGATGGCAATGAAAACCAGGATGGTGATGGCAATGATCAGAGTGATGGCAATGAAGATCAGGATGATGGCAATGAAAACCAGGATGGTGATGGCAATGAAAACCAGGATGGTGATGGCAATGAAGATCAGTATGATGGTAATGAAAACCAGGATGGTGATGGTAATGAAAACCAGGATGGTGATGGTAATGAAAATGAGGATGGTGATGGCAATGATCAAGGTGATGGCAATGACGATCAGGATGATGGAAATGATGATGGCAGAGAGAATCAGGGTGGTGATGAAAGTGACCTTTATAGTAGTGATGATGATGGTGAAAATGGGGTAGTACCTCCTAATCTTGACAGTGGCATGGACACTACATCAGGTGAAGAGATGGACTCTGATGATGATGACAGGAACAGCACACATCATCGCATTCATGCTCACACACAAATAGAAACAACCTGGCCAAGTGACTCAGAGTATATTGAACCTACATGTGTTTCTAATGATGAAGATGATGACAATGTTGCTGATAGTGATGGTTGGACTCCGACACTCCGAAGACATGTTGTTGAAGAGTTCACAGGTGAACATCCTGGTCCCAATGTGAACAAAGCAGACATACCTACACCAATAAGTGCTTTTGAAAAAATATTTCCTAAATCGCTTGTGACAAAACTCAGAAGAGAGACTAATGCTTATGCAAAATATATAAAAAGAAACAAAGGAGCGGACAAGTACTGGGCTAAAATCAAAGATGATGATGAGATGGCAGCATTTCTAGGCATCATGATAATTATGGGAGTTGATCCAAAGGGGGAACTGAATGACTATTGGTCAACAAATACTGCTTTAAGAAATGAAAAAATTTCAGGTGTAATGAGCCGTAATAGGTTTCAAAAAATATTGCAATATTTTCATGTCAATGATGCAAGAAATGATCCAGCTAATATAAGTAATCCTGCTGAGAGAGCTACAGAGACATAGACCAATGTATAAAGTTGCACCAATACTGAAAACTGTAATACATCAATCACAACAGATGTATAATCTTCATTGTGAGGTGGCAATAGACGAAGCCATCATTGGGTACAAAGGGAGATATAATGGAATTCCAACTGTGTTCATCCAGGGAAAACCCAGAGCCAAAGGGTTCAAAGTATATGTTTTGGCAGATAGTCATTCAAATTACGTGGCTAATCTCAAATTTATGACTAGTACTGGAAGTCATGAAGAGGATATGCGAAACGTTTCCAAAACTGCTGCCTTATGCGAGAATTTAATCCAGCCATTCACTGGATTACATCATGTTCTCTACACAGATAGTTATTATACCAGCATTGAGATGGCCAGTAGGCTCCTGGACTATCACCATACCTATGTTGTTGGAAGTATGCGCCAAGATAGAAGGGGATTCCCAAATGCCCTTCGCACAAATCCCAGAAGAAACCCAGCAAGTGACGTAATCAAAAACCTATGCAGATGGCAGTTTGCTGCAAGACAGAAAGACAATCTTGTTGTTGTCTCTTATAAAGATTCAAAATTATTAAATCTGCTTTCTACATGCCGAGAAGGATTTAAAGTCAATGATGGAAGGATCAACAGATTCATCAAGTCACCCACAACCCATCGAAAGTCTGTCTACAGCCTTCCAGCTCCTGATATTGTAGGTGATTACAATAAATACATGGGTGGAGTGGATCGTGCTAATCAATACGATCTTATTTCACTTCCCAACGTCAGGCCCACAAATGGTGGAAGTATGTCTTCTTCTACTTATTAGATACTGCCATTTGCAACAGCTACATTATCTACAAAGAAGTAGTTGATGAGAAGAAAACGCATAAAGCATTCCAAGTAGAAGTTGGTTGTGCTATGATTGGTGGCTTTTGCTCAAGAAAACAGAGAGTGACAACTGCTGAACCAGTTCTCAATACATACCAAAATCACCACCTGGTTAAAGGAGAGGGCAGAGGTGCTAGTTGTAGAATGTGCATTAAGATAGGAAGGAAAACTCAGAAGGGCCACTACGTGTACAGCGTCTACAAATGCAATGAATGTGGAATTTCCTTGTGTCGTGATTGCTTCCTTCCATATCACCATGAAATAACATGTAATGCAGGCAAAGGGCAGAAGGTGACACAAACAGAAGCAACTGATCAAGCAGAAGCAAGGTGGCTGTGGGAACACAGAAGAGATGCAGGAGGACAACAAAGCAGAAGAACCCCTGCAATTGGGAGAGGTGGATCAAGAGGAAGACAAAGAGGTGGACAAAGAGGAAGAGGAAATCGTGGAAAATAAAGACTAGTTGTTATATAGTGTGGGCCCCAGGGTTTGGTGGTTTATGTAGTGGTATAGTATAGTATAAGTATATAACTGTTCAATGCATAGATGCATGTAAGTGACATATATACTGTATTTCACAGGATTAGTCCAAAGAAGATAAAAGATTTATAATAAGCTTTGTTGTCAACTGAAGTTCTTCTTTGCACTCCAGGTAACCAGACTTTCCATAGTCTGATTGCTGGAAATAATGTGGAGCCAATTACATGTATAATTTAGTTGTAGTCACTGTCAGCCAAGTGTAATTTATTTGTAGTTATCAGAACCCTAAGTTGAATTTATTTGTAGTAACCAACTCCCAAGTTAAATTTATTTGTAGTGACCAACTCCCAAGTTGAATTTATTTGTAGTGACCAACTCCCAAGTTGAAATTATTTGTAGTGACCAACTCCCAAGTTGAATTTATTTGTAGTGACCAACTCCCAAGTTGAATTTATTTGTAGTGACCAACACCCAAGTTCAATTTATTTGTAGTGACCAACACCCAAGTTCAATTTATTTGTAGTGACCAACACCCAAGTTCAATTTATTTGTAGTGACCAACACCCAAGTTCAATTTATTTGTAGTGACCAACACCCAAGTTCAATTTATTTGTAGTCAGCCTTATACCCAAGTACAACTTACTATGCACAGCATATGTATCACGTTACAGCAGATTTGATCTTTGCAACTGATTAACTTAGACTTGGTACATATTGGGTATTGCCTTGTGGGAGAAAGAGGATTAAAATACCCAGCTCATTTTCACTCAAACACCATGTCTCGCTCCCATACAGCAATGCTGATCTCACACAACTCTTATAAACTACTCCTTTCATCTCCAAGGGAAATGTCTTCCCATATAGTAGCTCTCCACATTCCCTAAACGTCACCCAAGCAAACCTTGCTCTAGCTGTCACAGCCGCCTCACACCCACCACCCACACTTACCTTGTCCCCCAGGTATGTAAACTCCTTCACTGACTCAACCTCATCACACAACTTTTCTTCCTGTTCCACCACCCTTCCAACTCCATTCTTACATCTTCCACATGCAAAATTCCTTGCCAATCTTTGGGTCACCCTCTTCATCTTTGCACATCTCCCATGTATCCACTTCCCACATTTCACACACCGCACTGAATTTGCCTTTACCCTCTTTCCACACATGCCACATTGGTCAACCTTACTCACCAAAGGCTTTCTCCTCCGTCCCACTCACCATCACTTTTGTCTTTCATGGCACGAATC